AGGTAGAGCTGAGACTCCCTTTTGCTAGGAGTGACATTTCGGCCTCGGAGCTGAGGCTCTCCTCTTCCTCGGGGCCAGCGTCCCTGACGCGGCGAGCGTGCCCACGCCGGTGCAAACGCCGGGAGCGCTCAGCTCCTTGCCTCCGCGGCGCTCGGTTCATCCGCACACCACCTCCCCGGCAGGGAAGCCTGAAGAACGGGGACCAGTACAAATAGGACAGGTATTTCAGCCTGAAGATCTTCATTTTATTATAAGATTTGTCTTTGTCTATTGTCTCCTTGCCTATAAACGCCAGCAGACCCTAGACTGCATGGCACCATAACGTAAGTCATCTGCATAGCCGAGCTAATAGCCTTGCAATCACGGATGTAGGAGTCCGTGGTTTTCCAGGGGTGCGCCACTGCTCACGAGAAGGAGAGGACAGATTTTCGCTGACTTGCCTTTCCGGGGATCAGGTTGTTAATGCTGGAGGGCCAAACCCTGCTGCCAGTGGCCAGGGAACGTTTTTGTCGCTTTGGTTCTTGTCTCCTGTGCTGGAACAAAAGGGAATTGTTTCATTTTGAAGCCAACGCGTTGTTAAACCTCACCCAGCCTGAAGTCAGACTAGGAGTTTCTTAATTTTATTACTAATCGGTGCACTGGTGCCAGGGACTCTCCCAGCCCTCAGGCCCTTCGTGGTGGGCCAGCGCCGGTGTCCTTCGCAGCAGAACTTCCTGCGCTTTTGCTGATCTGCCATCAGGCTGGTTTCACCGAGCCTGAGCGCTGCGGAGCCTAACGATTTGGGATATTTGCTCATATTGCTGAAATTGGGGCACAGAAACACGGTATCTCGCTACAGGCTACTGGCCGTGACCCGACACCTTGCTTTGGCCGCCCGCTCAGGGCAGCGCTCCTGCTGAGCCAAGGCAAAGGGCAGGAGTCACGGGCACCGATGCCCTCCAGCGACTGCCGGGCGCCGGGAGCGCGGCAGGGTCGGGGCACGCGCTGCACCCACACCCACACCTCCAAACCCCCAAGGCAACAGAGAGAGCCTTGCCAGGGAGTAAAGGGAGCCCGACAAGTGCGTTAGGCCGGGGAGGCTAGCCACAGAGACGAGTTTCTTTGAAGGAGAAGCGATATCTTGTTGTCTGTCTATTTCTTAACCTGAATTTCTCTTTTTGTCTCCCATACTAGACAGCGGGGGCAACTGGGATTGCAGCTATTTTGCAAGCCCCGCTATGTCACCAGGAGTATTTCCTATATACCAGGATCTGCCTTTGTACTGTAACCCAGCACAAGAAAATGCCTCATCTTTCATTGCATCGCTCTAATTCTAAATTAATGGCACTGCCCAGCAGGATGCACACAGCAGCAATGGCACGTTCTTAAATGTCAACGTTAAGACATATTTATTCTCTATTGTGTGTTTTTTTTTTTTTAATTTATTTTTGAAGCAAGGCTGGCACTGTACCTTGCAGCAGGCTGGCGTACGCCAGCCGGGGTCACCGCTAGGGGAGACCGGCGGCGCCAGCCTTGCTCTCCCCACGTAGCGCCTCCGCCGCTGCAGTCCCCTGCGTTTGCTCCAGCCGGGCCGGGGGGCAGTACATGCCCACAACACCGGAGGAAAAAACCAGTGACAGTGAGGTACAGACGGAGGCTCGTCGCCCTGCGGAAACCCAGGCGGTCTCTGCTAGCAGGAGCGGCCTCCTCCCACAGTCTTAATGGCAGAAGGGAACAGGAAGAAGTCGTTTTCTCCTAGTGCTGGGCAGCCCCGAAATCAGAGCTCTCAGGGGACACGCGCTCATACGCTGCGCCGATGCAGCTCTGCGCCTGCTGGAAACGTTTCGCTCTCAAACATGCGGCGTTTGACGTTGAGCCGAGCCCCGGGGGCACCGACACCGACCCCGCAGCTGGCCCGGGACCAGCGCGCGCAAAGCCCAGCGGGCAGGACAGCGCAGCTCCTTAGGAGTTAGGGGGAGGGAGGGAGGCAGAAGGCTGCCGTCAAAAATGAAACGCTGCGGTAAAGGACAGCTAGAACCTCTTACAGGAAAGCCTTCGGTACCGAGCAG